GCGGGGGCCCCCAGAACATGCCCGGGGGAAGCCCCCCGCCGCCGCCTTTGCCCGGCTCGCCCCCGCCGCCCCCCAGCGTCTCGTCCTGCTTCTTGGGGCAGAGGCCGAAGGCGGCGGCCGGGAAGCCGTAGGGGGGCGGGAAGAGGGGGGGCGGCAGTTTCTGCAGCATCCCGAAGCCCTTGCTGGGCACCGGGATGACCGGGTAGCTGCGCACAGCGGCGGGTCCGTGGGCTCCGGAGGGCAAGGCGAGGCCGACGCGCTCCCCGGGCTGCTCCTCGGCGCCGCCGCAGCGCAGGCTCTTGTGGACGGGCGCCAGCTCGTGGGCGGCAGCGGAGGAGGAGGAGGAGGGGGGCGGCGGGTGGAGGGCGCCCTTGCCCGCCGCGGAGGAGGAGGAGGCGCCGCCGGGCCCGTGGCCGTGGAGGGAGAAGGTCCGCTTGCGGGTGCCGCCGTTGAACATGGCCTTGACGTCCTCCCAGGCGTGGCTGAGGTCGTCGGTGGCCGTCTTGTCGCTGAGCTTGAGGTGGCGGCGCCAGGAGTTGAAGTTGGCGGCGTCGGGCTGCGTGTACTTGGCCTCCGGGGTGCGGTGGGAGTGGAAGATGAACTTGTTGGGCGAGAAGTACATGCTGCAGTAGCCGCACTTGATGCACTTGGCGCGGGAGCTGTTGTAGCGGGCCGGGATGAAGGAGCCGCGCGAGCCCCAGGCGCACTCGTGCACCACGTCGAAGGCGAAGTTCTCCGGCAGCTTGGGCGGCTTGTGCTCGCCCAGGAAGGACTTGCAGAGCCGCTCGGCCTCCCGCTTGGTGATCATGCCGCAGCGGCGCGAGGAGATGGGCATGGCGCCCGCCCGCCGCAGGATCTCCAGCTGCACCGGGGTGCACTGCACGCACGTGATGCCCAGCGCCACCCGCCGGTTGTGGATCTCATTGTAGCTGTAGTTCTTCAGCAGCGTGTTGGAGATCTGCGCCAGGCACAGCCGCTCCTGCCCGTCGATCACCAGCGAGACGATGGGCACCCCGTACAGCGACGTCTCCCCCACCTGGTTGGGCTTCAGCGGGCCGCCGACGCCGCCCGCGTACGGCTGCAGCTCCTGCTTCGAGTGGGGCGAGGCCGCCGCCGACGACGAGGAGGAGGAGGAGGACGAAGAGGAGGAGGAGGAGCCCGAGTCGCGCCCAGGACCCAGCTGACTGGCGGCCGACAGCGACTCCATGGCCGCCCCCGCCGCCGCCGGACTCCTGCGGGGGAGAAGCCAGAAGAGAGACGCTCAGGAGGGAGGCAGGGAGGGAGGGAGGGAAGGCGGCCGGGAAAGAGGGGGGGCCCTCGCCTGCCCCAGCCCGGCCGCGCAAGGGCCAAGAGGCCAACAGAGGCCAACAGCTCTGTGGCTTTCCCACTCGCCTCCACCCTCCAACGCATCGCTCGGGAGGGCTTCTTTCTCCCTTCGCCTTCCTTCTCCCAGGGAAGAAGACTCCGGGGCCAGATGCGGGACGCATCTGGCCCCGGTGTCTCCTTGCCTGGGAGAAGGAAGGCGAAGGGGGAAGGAAGCCCTCCCTCCCCAGCGGGAGCCCAACCGCGAAACCACAACTGTTGGGAAGGCGGCGAGGCAAGAATACCAGGAAGAGGCCAAGAGCGCGAGGCGGGGAGCTCCGGATTCTCCGCAGGAAAGAGCCCGAGAGTCCAGCAGCACCTCGAAGGCGAACAAAAATACGTGCCGGAGGAGGAGGAGGTGTCGGGAGTCGCCGCTGGCTCCTCCGGAGGCTTCTTCCGGCATGTGGAGGAGCGAGACAGTGACTCAGGCCAGCTCCTGGCCCTGCCACGGGTCTGGGTTAGTCTCGAAGGTGCTGCTGGAACCGCTACAGACGGACGGACAGGGAGGCCCATCTCGGTCTCTTATGATGAGAGAAATCCAAGCGGGCAGCCGTGTTCGTCTGAAGGGGCAGAGCAGATTTAGAGTCCAGCAGGGGCGCCTTGGAGACCACAGTTCAGCCGCACGGAATAGCACCAGTGTTCCCTCTAAGTTTAGTCGTTCGCTCTCCTACCATCATGTACATCTGTGCTCATTCTCTGCTTTTTTTGCAAATGGATGGTAAAACCGTATACAGAACTGCAGAATGCAGAATCATCAGAGAATAGCCTGTGGTCAATGTTCCCTCTAAGCTGAGGCAGTGTGAGCTAGCTCACAGTTTTGTAGCCTCCGGCTCACACATTTTTTTGGGTCTCAGCTCAGGAAGGGATGGGGCCTCCGGAGCAAACGAATTTACGCAGCGGCCAAATGGCTGGCTCACAACTTTAAGGCCAGTCGCTGGCAAAGTAGGATTTTTGCTCACAAGATGCCACAGCTTAGAGGGAGCGTTGAACGGGGAGGTACGTTGAAGACAGCCTTGTTGGGCTTCAAGGTGCCCGACTGGACTCTCCATTTGTGCTGTTATCGTACGGTTCGGCTGGCCTGGACCCGCCGCCAAAAAGACATCAACAACAAGAAAACCTACCGGGTTTCCTTTAAAATGCTGGCAATTTTTTAAAAATACACATCAGAGATCGGGAATATCATACGAAGCCTCGAAACTCTGAACGTTCCTTCCCTCCCGGCCATTTCTTGTGCGCCCCCTCCTCTACCCCGAAGGAAGAGCCCGTTTCTCTCCGACCCCCCAATTCCCAATTTCTCTCCCACTCACGGCGCTCTCTCGCTCTGCCTCTTTTGCAAGGGCGCTTCGTGGTCCCCCCTCCGAAGATTCCCTGTTTCCAAAGCCGGGGAAATGGCTTGCGGGGGGGGGGGCAGAGAGAAAACCCTCCTGGATCCGGACCCGCGGACGGCGGTATTTAAAAGTGAGCGCGTAGCCAGCTTCCGTGGCCCGCCGCCGACCAGGGTCAAATCAACCCTCCGTCGTCCTCCCTTCGCCTGGCCGCTAATCCTGTCCCGACAGGGTGTCAGAGGTATTTAATGGCAAGCGGCCGGACTCTCCCTCCTTATTCCCGGGACTCCCCACCGTCCAAAGGAGCCGGGCAAAAAAGAGAGAGAGAGAGATGCGACCCTTTCCAAACCACCCCCAGTCCGGGTGGCTTCCCGTCCCTCCCTGTCTGGGACTGATGTTTTTAAAAGGTGGGGTGGACGAGAGGCGCCCCCCCCCCCGCCCCTCCGATTTCTCTTCGCCGGCCTTTACGGGGGATTAGGCGCTAGGAAGATTATTTAACTGTGCCACGGCAAGCCGCTTGCCGAGCGTTAAGGGGAGGCGGAGAGCGGCGGAAAAGCCCCCGGAGAAGTCAGCCTGAGCCGAGCCAAGGCGCTTAGCCAAACGGGATCGCCCGGGCTTAGGCGAGGAGCTCTCGGGGTAATTACACAGAGGGTGGCTCGCCCCACCCCCCTCGCTTTCCTTCTCTCCCACGGAAAAGCCCCCGGAGAAGTCAGCCTGAGCCGAGCCAAGGCGCTTAGCCAAACGGGATCGCCCGGGCTTAGGCGAGGAGCTCTCGGGGTAATTACACAGAGGGTGGCTCGCCCCACCCCCCTCGCTTTCCTTCTCTCCC